GCCGGGGTCGGCCGGAGGGTCGCACCGAGTACTCTAGGTCGTGCTTCGGGATCTTTCGGATCTATGAGGATTCACCGCGAGAGCGCTTCGCAAATGATTCCATGCCGGTGTTCACCGGCTCGTTTTGCAGGAAGTGACCATCACCGGTGATTAAAAATCGTGGCCAGGTCTTGGTATTGTACTTTTCGCAAAACCGAAATCGAGGTTCTAGGAGCAAGATCTATTTTGCATCATCACTGTGAGTCGGTAGTCAGGAGTGACGACGGGCCCAGAATAGACGGGCCCATTTTCGGGCCCGCCCAGACCGTCCAGGAACCTTCCAATTCACCTTCGGGACGCCGCCTTAGAAGTATTTCCCTTTTTACCCCCCGGCAATAGGAATTTGTCACGAGAGATCGGCCGGTGAACAATACGCGGTAACGAAGCGCGCGTGAAAACTTTAATGGGGTTGCCACCGACCCCGGCATGAATGGGACTCCGTTGGAACGGGCCCCTTACGGCGGGATCCTTCCTCCGGGTTCTCTTCCTGGGCTTTGTGCAACCGGCGATGTATCGATACGGAACATCGATAGGACACAAAGCGGATGTCGACGCTTAGGCTTAGAGTCGCGCGCGGAAGCGCATCCGCCTCGCGTGTAGGACATCTTCGGCATATTCTTCATATTTCGATCCACCAGGAGGCTCTCGTCTGCATCCGATGGTACTTAGACATGGCAGCGACCTTTTGGTGTCGCACCTCGATATGTCACGTCCCATGGATCTAAAAAAAATCGACGAAGTATATCCCAATATGAGCGAAGCCCAGGACTTCAGAGGAAGGAACCAAAATGGCGGCCATCTCGCGTGGCCCCATTCTGAGAAAAAAGGACTGGTTCAATGAAAATTTTTTTTTTTCTCAGCGCAGCATCCTCGCGCGTTTCTCATGCATAAACTGGATTTGCAGCATGCAATAACTCTTACCACCTGTTTCAATCAATATCTCCTTAAAAACAGCGGATAACGCGCATCACGTAAAGAAAGACGTACGAACGCTTCGACGGCCGCTGTTCCCGATTTCAAGATGGCGGACAAATTTAACTTCTCATGTTTCGTTTCTACATCCGCTGTTAATTTCGCGAGGTGAGACTGGAAGGAGGCCCTGGTAGGAAGTCGTGGATGCATCGGACATCCTCTGGGATAAATAGGGAGTGATCGATACGAGACGTCTCTTATGAAGTTTTATTTTCCCGAGTATTGGGCATGGCCGGGCGTCGCGTCGTTTGTACGACGGGCTGTCTCGCGGAGAAGATGAGGGTCTGCTTTATCGGGCCGGGTGTTTGGGGTGATCGGGAGGCGCGCTCCTCCATCTTGGTGACAATTTCGATCGGTGGAAATCCATCCGGGGGTCCTCGGGACCGAGGCGGAACTCTCGGAAGGAGCCGGCGTCGGTCCCGCCGTCTGCAGGCGGCCAATGGCGGACGGCGAACCAACGGACGGCCCCGCTTATTTATGGCGACCATACTTCAGATATATGAACTGGTTCTGTCGAAAGTTCGGGATGCATCTTCCTATCCGGTTCGGGGCTGGCGAAATGTATAGAGAGGTGTCCCGGCAGTGTTCGCTTTCAGCGGAAGATTTGCGAGGGGTCACCTTAATGTAATATCGAATGAGCTTCATTTTTTTCTTCCCCCGACCTTTCCCCCGAGCCTCCCCCATCTCCTTTCGCATCTTCTCGGGGAATTTTCATCGAACGGGATGCCCCCCGACTTAATTCCCGCTTATCCCCCTGGCCCCCCTTTGCGGTCCCTGTCAACGTAACTTCTTTCCTCCGGCCGCTGGAAAAAGCCCTGTAACTAAAGGCACTACGATTTTACGACTCGGCCGGTTTATTGCGCTTAATATCACGTTATTACGAGTCGAAGCAGCCCCCCGTGCCTGCCGTGCATTACACGCCGAGTTAAGGAACTCGCGATTCGAGGGGAGGCTCTCGATACCGAGGATGGCGGGAGATATAAACGAATCGAGGGTTTCGATCGTCTCATCGAGAATCGCCGATCGCCCCAGCTGGGTACCAGTTACCACTCAAAAACGACGGTGAGGATCGGCATTAACCCGTAATGGCACCCGATTTTCTAGTACTTGCACGTGAACGAATCGACGCACCGTGTACTGCGAATATATTACACATTCCCTCGAAACTCTCAGATCTGCACCTAACTCAAAATTGGTACAATGGTTCAAATGCAATAGTGCCAGTGCGCCCTGGATCCGTCACATGTACCCCTTTGACAAATGACCTCCTTGCCTAAATCATGTATAATTGCAACGAAACAATTACATCGTCGAGAAGGAAACTCATATCGTCGATTTAATCGCACTTTCGACACTCCACCTGACGTTTCTTCCGACGGATTTGACAGCAGGATATTATCATAGCGATGACTCCTTCTCAGGGTGTAATCCCCAGCAACCGTGACAACGACCCTTGTTCAAGAGATCGGTACAGTGGGTCGGTTCCTCCAGTACCGAGAATTTCACGGAAGGATTCCCTGATTGTCCCTGAAAAAAAGAAAAAAAAATGCATCATCCTGGCCGAGGTGCCCCCTATTTCCACATCTTCCCGGAGCGAGGGGGACGCCACCTCTGCGTCGCCCTGCCAACGGGGGCCATCTTTGTCCCCGGGTGGGTTGCACCGAGTTAATTTATATTTATCCTCTCCTTTTACGAGGCCATCCCCGTTTCCGATATCCCGGAACGGCGGGGAGGGGCAAGGAGGGCACCAGGGGCATCAACGGCATCAGAGGAGAGGGCAGGCAGGAGATGGAGTAGATAAATAGATAGATGGGCAATATTATAACTCACCGGCTGTCATCCCGCACGGCCTGAGTCAGGCTGCTAATCAGACCCTCCTCGCCCTGGTCCCCCTTCGGTCCCGTGGATCCCTTCACGAAAAATGGATTTATTGCCGTTCGCCTCGACTTCGGCACGCTATCGAGTTCCCTGATCCATGGGACGTACGCAACCATCGGGGTTGCCCCCAAATCGCCGAAATCCCCTCGGCCCCCCAGTGGCCCCTCCTCCCGGAATCCTGTACCGGTGTCGCCCTTTCAGCTCCAATGTCGCGGAAACTGCTACGCCTAAAATTACACGCGAACCAGCTACGTACGGAGGTGGGGGGGAATGGCGTCCCTACTTTCCAAATTTATCGCTCGATTTTTCCTCGAGCGCGAAGACGGAATCCGCGCCCCCCTTTTCCCTCCTTTCCCGGTCCCAGGACCCCCGAACGCAACTGCGATCTCCACCGAGATCCGCATTCTAGCCAACGTTTTATTCTTTCGAGGCGTCGTGCCCCTCCACCTTTTTCTTAACGCCGAAGTATAAGTAAGAGGTAAGGTGACGCGGAAGGAGCATCCGCCCTCACTCGTTCACGAAACTTCTTCGAGCGAGATGCATCGATCGCTTTTAAATTCGTCTATTTCGATCTTGAAAGTGTCTCGGTAAAAATGTATTTAAATGAGATTTACACGAGCAATTTTCGAGTTTGGAGAAGAGTATAACGAAACGATTGACTCCTGAGATGTCATTTCCACGTGACCTTAGGGTGCACTCCTTAAGTCGTGGGTGCCTCGGCGAATCCGTGCTCTCGTCGCAGAGTTGACGAGGTCACGTGGTGGGGGAGGGGGGACATGGTCAGGTGAGGGCCGATGCATCACGAGAGTCGTGACACTCGCCTCTGTATGGCGGGCATACATCACGTCGACGTCTTGGCCGGGAGGGGGGGAGCTCGACCGTCACGTGGGGTAGGGACGTCGGGGAGGGGGGGAGGATGAGTGGATGGCACATGGGAGGAGGGAGCACGCATTCGCACCGAGGTTGCTGCGTAGGAACCGCGTGCGCCTCGAGTGGCGGTCGTTTTTTCATCGAGATTTATTGCCGAACTCCTGGCGACCAGCAGAGGGGCCCATCCGTCCCTTTTGGGCCCGACAACCATCACGGGGTCCCGTGACTGGACGCACTTCCGCCGCTCGTAATGGGTGAGGCGGAATAACGAAGGTGACGGAAACATTGGAGAACGTAAAAACCGCGATGCGCGATGCGCGATGCGCAGCCACGTGGACGGCGTGCGAATTTGTGGGGCAATTCGGGCCTGCCGTTCGGGGGGGTTGTAAAAACCCGGAGGACGCGCTTTTCCGCGCGGGATGCGCACCGTCTACTGAACGGGAGAGGGTTACGCGGTGGTTTACTACTTTTCCGCGTAGCGTGTCGCAGGACGTCAGCGCGCACGCAGACGCACGCGTGCCGGCGGTTCAGCGGGAGCGAGAGGTCCGCGCGTGGGACACGGACGCTGGCCGGTCTTCCTTCGCTCCCTCTCTCTCTCTCCGACTCGCGATACCCGCATAGGGGCGTCCCTCTCGGCCTCGCGCCGGCGCTCCGTCCGTGGGTCTCTCTCCAACCCGCGGCGGCCGCACAGCGCGGTCCTCCTCCCACTCGCGGAGTCCCCGGCATGCTCGCCTCTCCGTTCGACCCGCATGGATGCGGGCTCGCTCTCTCTCCCTCTGACGTACTACCCGCATGTCGCACCGCCTCTCTCCGCCGCCGGTCCAGGAGCACGTCGACCCTTCTCTCTCGAGCGCACGGGGATCCCGTATCCCCGTCTCGCTCCCTCTTACGGCGCCGCTGGATGGTTACTTTTCTTTCCACGGCACAGTGGCGCTGGTGTACTCACCTCTCTATCGCGTCTCCTTCTCCCTCGGTCTCACGGAGCCGGAGTGTAGTGTCCCCTCCCCTTTCTCTCTCTATCCCTCGGTGGCGCCGCTCGTTGCCTCTCCCTCCCTCGTCCGGAGGGGGCGGCATGCGAGAGAGAGGAAGTCAAAGTCCCGCCGGAGAGGGATAGGGGCGTGGGTGGCGTGGGTGAAGCGCGGCACTTCCCCTCCCTCCCGCGCGCCGCTGGAGGGGAGGCCCGGTGGTGGGGGTACGCCAGTCGCCGCGCCGTCAGTGCGCCACGTGCTGCCGACGTGAAAAGGTGTCCGCGTCTCTACGACTTTGGCCCGGTCCTCGGACCCTTCTGCCCTTCTCCTTCTGGACCGAGCCTCGCACTGCGTCCTAACCTCCCTCTTTCTCTCTTTCTCTCTCTCGCTCTATCTCTTTGGCCTTCCTCATCGGTACGTACCAGTTCTCTCCCGGACGGACGCAGTCCTTAACGCGAATGTGGTGGAAAAACGTGAACTCAGTCTCGGGCCATGGCCTGGCCAGTGTGAGGTGTGTACTACGCGAGCGGGTGCTCGGGTGCGAATGAGCCCCGACAGGCTGGACCCCGGACTGCCCTTCGGCCCGCGAGGAGGCGCTGCCTCCCGGGGGCACCATGTGGGCGACCTGGTGATCCTCCCCAGGTGGTGTGGCGCGACCTCGGCCGCGATCCCGCCGACCGGCCTGGCGCCGGAACTTCGATCGTGGATTAACGACGCTACCGGAAACCACTACTGTTGGTGAGTGACACGTGATCACCCTTAGCAAGTAATCACCCTCCAGCGGTCGAACGATCTACATCTCCCCTACCGAAAATTCTCGTGGCTTTGTTTTCATCCGTCGAGACGAGGTGTCGGGTCGTTGCTCCGCGGCCGTCATCTCGACGATGCTCCCAAATATTGTTTCTCATCCTGGCGAGGTCCGCTCGCCGGCTCTCTTATCATCTGGACACGTCATCAATGCGACAAGTGACGAACGCGCCGCGATGGTGCGGTGTTTTCGCGTTACCACGTGCCGCCGTTAGTTTCCGATAACGCCACCCTGGGAGCGCGGATAACGGGCGACGTTCGGGAAGGCGGATCCTCCAGGTCGACGGGAAAGATACGCGAGGTGGACGGTCTCGGGGACACGACGTACGGTGACAAGGCGACCGCTCGATGAGTCACACTTGAGAGACGTATTGCTCGGCAGGTGAGAGACTACGTGCTAAAAACGGTAACGCAGGGGGGAGCGGGACGCTCGTCGGTAGACTTCGCGCCCGAACGATATGTTTACTTTTTGAAGGAATTACATGCGTAAGGTATGTCGTTCCTATGTGGAAATCATCCGTGCCATCGGGCTGAATCATTCGAGCCCGCGTCCAGCCTTCTCGCTCTTTAAACTAAGAGACAATGAGGAAATAACTTTTCGAGGTGGAGGCGCAGGGGGACGCGTTTAGGCTGGTGCCACGTGACCGGTTAAACTTATGCGTCTTGTTGGAACAAAGGCGACTCATCGCCCTCGGATGCTACTGTACGCTGAAATATACTTTTACGACGGACGTTGAAACGACACCTCCGGGGTTATAGACTTAGGGACCTCTTCGCAGGTGCATCCACGTGGACGGGGAATGGCGGGTAGGTACTCGTCGACCGTGCACGTGTATAGGGGAGCGCGTACCGAGCGTCGCGAAGGATGAGCTGACATCTGCCAGACCATTTCCACTGAGGCCACACGAGCGCAATTTCAACGTCCGTTGTGACGGACATACAGTCGAACGGACACTTTTACGTTAAACCGCGAACGGGAAAAAATCGCATTACGATGGATTTTACAATCGCAAACCCACGCGAACGACGCACGGTATCGTTTATAAGAAAGTCTGTTTAACACGATCAGAAAGTTCTTATTACTCGAGTCTGATCGAAATGTCTGATACACTTAGAAAAATAGTAAGAGCATATTTAACAACATGAGCCAGTTAAATTCTGATTCTTTTACTTAGAATTGCTTTTTGGCGTCTTTTAGACGCTAAAAAAAAATACATAAGTTTTTACGGACGTCGGTTTTGGAAGTTTTGCGGGTCTCAGGTACCTCTTCGTAGGTGTTTCCACGTGGACTGGAAAAGACCGAGGCGGAGCTTTTCAATATTGCACGTGCGTGGAGTCGCGGTGAAATCCCGCCGATGTTTCTGGTCGTCCCGACGTTGCGGAATATCCGCCGACATCTGCCGGGGCATTTGTAGCAACGTGGACGGAGTAGTCCCTGTAATCGTAATCGCAAAGGTGGCCACGCACCGTTCCACGGTGGCCGGCATACCGGCACGCATCGGGGACCCACACGAACGGGGTGTCTCTCTTTCGCCCCGGGTCCCTCTCCGTCGTGCCGTGTCCTCGGCGGAGTCACACCTGCACGCACGCGTGTCGGGGAAATAATGAACGCACACTGGGCGCGCACGCGTGGCCCGCACCGCTGCACGTGCCTCTCGTGGCCTTTGCCGTACAAAGGTGATCGGCCTGTCGCGAGATATATGGGGACGCACAATGCGTGTCGTGCGAGTGGGCTGATTGATAAATCAGCCCGCTCGTGTACGCACGCCGATCGTGGAAGGCGTGCGCGAAAATCATACGTGGCGCCACTTGGGGAGGGGACACGCGAAAACGGCGCCATTGTCGAGCCGATCACCTCCGCGTTTTCCTGTCAGGGAGTACTTAGGTGACGCGGGTGTCGATGCGTTAATGCCACCCTGGGCCTCTTGGGGTGATCGTTTCACTCTGGGCTGGTGATTTCACGCGATTCGAATGATGAAACGCGGATGAAACGCGGATGAAACGCGGATGAAACGCGGATGGAACGCTAAAGTTCGATGGGTACGAAAAGTCGAGTCGGGAGTAGAGAGGAGGATATAGGTACGAGGGACAATCTATCCCAGTTGGGAATCTGGACCCGGGGCTGGGGGATGCAGGATCCTTCCGTAAAGGGGAAGGGCGATGTTCAGGTATGCCGAAGGAGCGAGAGGGACTTTATTATTAACCCGTTCGAGCTCGGGCAGGAACAACTTGTCGGTAGACTGACGGTCCGGGCGAGGAGACGTGGCGGATGTCTCTCCACGAGGACGGGCGGACGGACGGATGGACCGGATGGATGGACAGCGACGCGGATAATGGGCGGGCGGAAATACGAGTGTCCGACCTCTTTACCGCCCTGCACCCTGGATGCTCGACAGAGCCGATGCGCTCTCGATGGATTCGCCGAGATCCTCTTCGTGTAACGATCAGCTTTTGACGGACGTTCCTGGATATTTGCGCGTCCTGGCCGAACGAAATGCGAGGTCGGTCCTGGGATTTGATCCTCGATTACCTTCATGGGAGGTTAAATACTTTCCCTCTAGGGAATCGCATCCTTAAGAGAGTCTCGTAGCATCTTCATCGGCATTAACGTCGATAGCGGGTATCGACATCGATGACCGTCAACTCGTTCCAAAGGACTCCTTCGATGGACCCCAGGAGATCCCCCTCGTATACCCATCACTTCTGGTGGAGGTTTTTTAATGTACTCCTCTCTATGGATGAATACCTAGTTTTCGGGACGGTGATTCGGCAGCGCGCATCAAAGGGTCTTCTGGATGGACCTCGGGATTATCTTCATCCCTACGTCACCAAACGTCAACTCTGACCGACGTCCCTGAATACTCTTACGGACAACTAGCTCGAGGGGTTGCGGGATCATTCGGCCCCACGACGTCCCCAGTTCCCTTTGAGGGGTAGCTAAATATTTCCCTTAGAAGGCGACTCTTCGGGCTGAATGGAGGCGGACTCGTTTCGTCTTCTCGCCGTCATTGGCGTCATTGCCGATCGGCGGGTACCGATATATCGATGCCCGTTGTTCGGCGGCATCGAAGGGACCCCCTCGAGGGTTCGTTAGTGGGCCTGCCTATAGGACACGGGAGATGGGTAATACGAAATGCAAAAGAGCGAGCACCCGTGTCTCGGGCGAAACGGGCACGCGTGCACGTGTGGGTCGAGACTGGTGTCGCGGGGGTGGGTACGTGTGCGCGTGTGTTCCGAGCCACCCCCGCGGATGTGCCGCCGCGCGCTCGAACCTATTGAAGTCCGCGATGATGGGCCCCGTCTGTCAGCAGATCAAAGCTGAAGTAAGCTCTCTTTGTAATGCTTTGCTGAGCTGGTATTTAATTATGTATGAGATCGATATTCGGGCCTGCGGGGCGGGTTGCTTCCTGCCGCATGGGCAAACCCGAAGAACACACGGGGCGCCTCTTTCCGCTCGCGATACTTCCGAGGTTTGGCTTTGCCGATTTTTATTTGTTTTTCAATTTTAAATCATATAAGATCGGGTCTTGGGATCTGAATTCTCGGATCGATCGGACCTCGTTAACGATAAGTGGAATTCTTTTAACGAGGAGCACCTAGTGCGTTAACTCCAGCCTTTCCGCGTGTGTGGCACGTCCCCTTTCTACATTGCGTCGGATTTGAACGCCGGCAGCGTCGTCCTGTGTGCACGGATCATTTGCATACAGGATCGCGAAGCTGGGCACCGATCAAGAGGGGAGGTTAGGAGGGTAACAAATTCACTCAATGAAAAATATTAGACCGGGGATTTTCCACGGGGGAGCGGTGGCGCTAATTTGCCAGCGCCTCCGGCGCCGTCGAGCCCGGCTACCGCGAATTCGCATTTCGCATTTCGCATTTCGCATTTCGCATTTCGCATTTCGCATTTCGCTCGATTTCCATTTCACGCACCGCTTGCGACGCGCCGCCCGATATGGACTCTGCCGTGCCGGGAGTTATCGGGTGCATTCTTTCGAGTTATCGCCGGCCAGCTCGCGCCTTTCCTGGACCCTCGTCCATTCCCGGAGGAAAGCCGGGAGATTCCGACAGATTTGCGGATTCGAGGAACCCCCTCGAGTTATGTTCCCGCGGACTTTTGCGGGTTCCATCAAAGTGACCCCCCGGACAAAGGGTACGCAATTAAGTTGGGCCGAAATTTGGGGGCAGATTTTCTGGCACTCCACTATCAATGCCTGCGACTATCTACCAGAAATCTAATACACGCGTAGTCGCGAGATATCGCGATTTGATCGATCGACCCGTTAATATTCAATCATCTCACCCTTGTATCAGAGATTTCGTAGGAATATCGAGAGATTCTCAACTATACACTCCGTCGGCTGTACTCCCGGCGCCTTCTCCCGAGCGGTCCCGCTTCCGCGGGTTCCGCGTCCACGGACGCGCGGCATCTCGCAATCCGGCATTGTCGGTCGGTGCCGTTTGATCTCCGGGGGTGCCTCGATAATACCATTAAACGACGACACCGGGCCCCCTCCCGAAATGACTGTATTAACGCTGACCGGCGGCCTACCGGGACGGCCGCATCGTCGGGGGCAGAGGCCGCACCCTCCCCGTCACGGTAGAATGGATCCGGGATCCACGTAAACGCGCAACTATCGGCGATATCTAACGTCACCGAAAGCACCGCGGCATAAAGCGGGAGCGGCGGGGCCCGACGTGTGCGCGATTTACCGATGCGTATGGGACGGCCTAAACGTCTGGCCTGGTCGTTAATGCGTAAACGCGGCCGTCGATGCGGACTCGCAGGTGTGCGGAGCATGCGGAGATGCCCCGCTCTCGTATCCACCGCCAGGTCGGAGCGTTTTGATCGTTCGGACAGAAAATTGTATTTTCGAAATGAATTAATAACCGGCGGAGTAATAATGCCGGGGGGGAGGGACGGGGACGTATAA